TATATATATATATATATATATACATATATACATATATATATATATATATATATATATATATATATATATATATATATATATATATATATATATATATATATATATATATATGTATATATGTATATATATATATATATATATATATATATATATATATATATATATATATATATATATATATATATATATATATATATATATATATGTATGTATGTATGTATCTATTTAAAGAATAAAAAGGGCCGATGTCCTGAAAGTCAATGTTGAGGAAAACAAGTTTGAAAGTTTGTTCTGTTAATTGAAATTCAGCAAATAGTAATTCATGAAATAACTTTTTCTGTGACTAATTAAACTGTGCTACACTATTCTAATCCTTTTAAAAACATTGCTTACCTAACGAAAATAACGAATATTTTTCAAAACGAAAAGCATTTGTTATATATATATTTTTTTATATTTTACTGTAGTACTTTTTAAATAAACATTACAAAAATACATGTTTTTGCTGATTAATTGGTAAATCAAAACATTTACAGGTGTTGATGTTTAAACCATTCTTCATAAATTTATTACTAAAGTTTTTTCCAATATTTTTGGAGCTTGATTATACAAATAAATATACTTCCTTCGATAATAAGTTTTTAAATGTCATTCTATAGCTGTAAAATCTATTTTCTGAATACTGAAAATGGCATATTGAGTTTAAGAAAAAATATAGTATAGTAAAAACGGCCAACCTGAAGCTTTCCGTTGCCATGTATTCAAAATGCAGCCATTTGCGGCAATCAATCACGCGTTGGGATTTTCAGTGAATTGGATTTTGAAGCATTGCTCTTGTGGCGTCCCTAATACATTGATAGCATTAGCCTTTATAACACATATGGAAACAAAAATTTCCAGTTCCATACTAAGTTTATCTCAAAATTGGTCCTTCTAGCTCTCAGCCATATATATATATATATATATATATATATATATATATATATATATATATATATATATATATATATATATATATGAATATATATATATATATATATATATATATATATATATAAATATATATATATATATATATATATATATATATATATATATATATATATATATATATATATATATATATATATAAACACACACACACACACACACACACACATATACATACATATATGTATATATATTTCTATTAGTATCTAAATCTATATCTATCTATCTGTCTCTCCCTAAATACATACATATATGTGTATTGGCTGTTTCACTCACTCAGTTCATGAAACAGCTGAAATATTCAGTCATTACAAGAAGTGGCTGAAATCTGGTAATCGTTATTACGCAACTTCCCTGATGTGTTTGAGGTAAACTGTGTAATACCCCTTCTCCGTATTTTGCCAGCGGAGGAGGAGGTTCGAGCAGCCAATCACACTGTGAAAGCCACGGTGGAATTCCCAACAACCAGATTAGGGCTAGAATCCAAGACCTGCAATATCATCCAACTCATTTCACCATCCAACATCTATATCTAACTATCTATCTATTTATCCATCTATCTATATATCTATCTATATATGCATATATATATGTACATATACATACATACATACATACATATATATATATATATATATATATATATATATATATATATATATATATATATATATGTGTGTGTGTGTGTGTGTGTGTGTGTGTGTGTGTGTGTGTGTGTGTGTGTGTGTGTGTGTGTATACACACACACACACACACACACATATGTAAACACACAGACACACACATGCACACCGCCTGATCCTCGGACCTGACCTGACCCCTCCTCGCTTCCGTTCGTCTGTCCTGACCTGCCCCGTGTTACTGTGTTGCCTCTCTTGTGTCTCTTTTATACCCCCTCCTCTCCCTTTCCTCTCCAGAACTCGAGATCTTGCATTACACAACAAGACGAAGAGGAAGACGGACAGAGAAGCATAAAAGAAGAAGAGATGTGTGTTGTGTAAACCTTGATAGAAAAAAAGAAAGAGAGAGAAAGGGAAAAAACGGTGACAGTGTAAACTAAGAAATCAATAACAAACAAATATTATAATTGTGTGTGAAAATGGCGCAAGACCAGTTTGAGGCAGATTTTAGAGAAGAATTATTACAAAAATCTTAAAATTAATATTTATAGGACATTTTATTACAATGGAAGTCATGTAACAGTTTTTTCCATGTTGCAACAATAATCCTAGTAATTAAACAGAAGTAAAAACGCGTATATTACACCTTAAAAGAAGAAACGGGGAAAGAGGGGGGTATGTTTTCTTTTTACAAAACTGGATTATAGTCTTATCTCACGGATCTTCATGATCAGTTCATGTAATTAGTTCAGCAGAAAATGGATTTATTCTTCAGCTTATGGGAATAAATATATATTCAATGACTGAAGTCTATGTACTCTGGAAATTTGGTACTGATTAACTTTTTCACTGCTGCATTTATTTGCATTATTCAGAACATTATTCTCTGC